TGGGGGGTGGCCTCTCCGGCAGGGTCCCTTCCCCCCAGGTGCCCTGGGGGCCCAAGCAGGAGGTGGCGGAGGGCAGCCACACCACTGACCTGGATCACGGCGTCCAGCCCCAGCTGGGACCGGCTGGCGGAGTCCCCAGCGGCAGGCTCACTGGAGGCGGAACTCATCATGGGCGGAAGTGCAGGAGCCGAGAGCCAGCAGGGCCTCTGCTCCAGGGGAGTGTCCTCCTGGGACCACGGCCGGGACGTCTCTCAGTACACCGGCCCCACTCCCAGGCAGCCCCGGCTCCTCTCTGTCCTGGGCGCCCAGCTGCCCTCTCTGGGTTGGCGGCAGCGTGGCTGACTGAGCCCAGAGGCGTTGCTGCAGCAGCACGACGCTGAGGGCTCGTTTCCCTGGAAATGGGAGCGCAGGCCCTGTTGCCATGGGGACCAAGGAACGCTGTTGTCTGGAAGCTGATTCCCTGGAGACCTGGAGACGCCCTGGGTGAAGCCGTCCACCTGATATCGACCGCACCCGGGGAGGGACTGGCCTCTCCCCCAGGCCCCCCACCCTCTGGGCAGTTGCCCCAGGAGGGGCTGTGTGCTTGGTGGCCACACATGGGGTGGAGGTGGTGAGCAGAACACTGGTCCTCCTGACTGAGAATCACAGCCTAGGACTTCTCCCCTGGCCTGGGGCTTCGGCAGTGTGATGGCCTGGAGCAGGTGGGCCAACTGCGGCCTGCAGAGGGGACGCCACCTGCCCAAGGACCAAAGCAGGGCCCTCCTCCTGCCTTGCACTTGGAAGCACCTTCTGGAATCCGATTCCCTCCGAACCCTTCAGGGTGGCCTGCCCGGTGGGTAGAGCGTTTCGTACCTGCCGTGTGACGTTCACTTCCCTGCACCCGAATCTTCCCAGAACCACACGAAGCACCAGCAGCAGGCCTCCCAGCTTACTGTCAGGGGCGGTGATGGGCGAGGCGAGGGGGTGCCTGACCATCACTGCAGACACAATGCTGTCCTTCCCAGCCTGGTTCCCCCGGGGCCTCTGGACTGAGTCTGGCACCAGGCACTCAGTCTGCGTCCCTGCCTCACTCCCTTCCCCCGGGCTCCTCGTTCTAAACTGGACTTCCCCAGCCGGGCTTATGTCCACGGGGTCCCTCTTGGAAAGGAGCAGCCCCTGGAGGGGTGGGCCCTGCAGCCAGGAGGGACTGCCTTTCTCATGAGAGGAGGCCAGTTCAGGGGCCCTGGGGAGGGCGTGTGTTCCCAAGACTCCCAGAGACCTGGGGTCTTTTGAGGCAGCTCAGGAGAGCAGAGGCGGCCTGTCGGGCAAGGCCAGAAGGGACCAGGCAGCAAGGGTGGACACTTGGTAGGTGAGCATGTGATCTGCTCCCAGTGCTGCTGGGGGGAGCCCGACAGGGCCAGGCCACTTCCTCGGAAGTGAACTACTCAACGGGGTGCCGGAGCTTAAAGGACGCTCCCCCGAGAAACGCCTGGTGTCCTCGGGCCACCATCCCCCACCCGACCCCGCCACCCCCGGGGACAGCCGCAGGGGTGCCCCGCGCAGGCACAGACAGGCCAGGCTCTCTGGCCAGACACAGCCCGGCTAGATCCGCAGGGCTGGCGGGGCTCACTGGACGGCTCCTGGGGACCGACAGGGGTGGTCGTAGGCTGCCCCGGCCCTGGTGCCTCTGGGGCGTCCGGAGCTCCCGTGGGTCCTGAGGAGCCTGGGGCCGGGAGGAGGGGCCGCGCAGCATCCTGGCTCCCCAGCTCCTCCGCGGCGGGCTTGGGGGCTCCGTGCAGGGTGTTCGGGTAGCGGCTGGTGAGAGGCTGCCGTTTGGTGTGACCGTGTGTGAAGGTCACTCAGATGAGTCCAAGTAAGACTCCGCTGGCCTGAGAAGAGGCAAGCTGGTGCCCCGTGGGGGCTGCGATGGGCCTGCCCGTGCCCCTCCCTCCCCACCCTGACACCCGCCTCGGCCTGGTCTGCCCTCTTGAACCTCGTGGTGGAGCCGAGCAGCTGGCACACTCTGGCCCCAGCCCACCCCCTCCTCCAGGATGTCTACTCTGGCTCCCGCGGCCCGGCCCCCTCAAAGCTCCCGCAGGCCCCATGCTTTCTACCCAGGCCTTCACTGCCTGGTGTCTGTGCTCGTGGCTTCTCGTCCTGGCCATCAGTGGACTAGAAGGAGAGCCCTCAGGGCAGGACTGAGCCCTGGGCCTGGGCAAGGCCCCCAGGGGATGTTCTGGAATGAGTGGAGGGGGTGGTGGAGGTGCTCAGCATGTGGGGGGCCCTCTGTGGGATGGGATGGCTGGCAGTGTGGGCCCCCAAGAGGACCAGGGCTCTCCTGACCCACACCCTAATTGGCTCTGATGGCTGGCGCCCTGCACCCTGAACCTCTCCCTGGGACTTGGAGAATGTGATCAGGGTCCCTCACCCACAACCACTGCCCAACACATAGCTGCCTCCTTGTCTGTGCAGAGGAAGGCCCTCCACGGGTGGGTCCTCGCTGCATTTTGTCACTGAAGCAGGGGACCTGGCTGGGTCTCCCTCACCCCACCATGCTTGCAACAACAGGTCACCTACAAACTGTCCTGGGAGAGTCCCGGCATGCTGGGCCCACGTGTGGACAGGGGCCCCAGGGCCCGCCGAGGAGTGGGCAAGCCGAGCCAGAGCCCAGCCGGCCTCACCCCTTTCTGTCTCCCCTTGGCCCCAGAAAGCACCAGAATTTGCCGCCTCTGACCCAGACCTTCCCGAGAGGAAGGGACCTCGAGACTCGCACGAGAGCACGGATGTCCCCATGCCAAGGCCACTCCGGCCCCTGGTCAGCCTCTCTCGTCCCCACCCTGACATGGAATTGGGCCTGCCGTGGACGGGACATCGCCCTGACATGTCCTCCGAAGCCGGTTCACAGGCAGGGCATCCCAGGAAGAGGGCGGGAGGCCATGAGGAGCGGGGCTGCTGGCTGCAGGCCCCGCTTGAATTGGCTGTGGGATCTGACTGGCCTCCGGGCCCGTCCGTGCTCCTTCGGTGGGTGACTCCATGCCCTGGGCACCTGCGCCTCCCCACATACCCAGGAGACAGCTCTCCGGGCGGCCAGTGTGGCGGGAGGGCCGGAGAATGCTCACGGAGGAGTGGCCTCTGCCGGCAGCTGTGGCCCAGCTGAGCCAGGTTCACAGCTTCTTTGGGGTGTGTCCCGTGCAGGTGCTGGACAGGAAGCGGGTGTGAATTCTGCTGTTGTACCAAAATGCAGCCCTGTTCCAGACACTGGCTGGGGCGCAGACTCGGGCACCGCCCAGGACTGCTGATCTGTGACAAGGCTGATGGTCCGGCTGCTGGCTGGCCGCGGGCCACTGGCTGCTGTCTGCCTGCATGTCTGTGCCTCACAGCCATGTGTCCATGCCTGAGGCCTGGCCACGGACAGCAGCGGAGGCCCTGTGCAGGGAAGTTGGATCAGGGGTGCATTGGGAGACTCATGTTTAGGGACACTGCCAGGTCAGCCTCTCGGGGTCACCCGAAGTGTTCCCTGGGCACACGTCCTGTGGGAAAGGTGTGCCATCCCTTCCCTCTCTATCCCGCTCTCGGGGCCTCTCTGGGCCGCCAGTCCACTGCCCGGAGACCACAAGGGGCATCAGCCCTGGTTGGTGGGGTTCCCAGAAGGGGTAAGTCCTGAGACGCTCCCCAGGAACAGAGCCCACCCTGTGTTCTTCCGTTCAAAAGGGTTGCCCGAGGATGCTGCCGTGGGCAGGGGTTGGGTGCCCAACTCAGGGGCACGAGGACAGAGCGAGGTGCCGGCGGGGCTGGAGGAGGGCGGAAGTCCTGTGGCTTCTTGAACCTGAGTAGCTGCCTTGGGGAGGGGCAGCTGTGCTCTGGGCGGCCCGAAGACAGGACTGGGCCAGGCTGGAGGACGGAAATCTGTTTCCTGTTTGGCTGCGTCATAGGCGGCGCTACAAGGTGGGGAGCTCCCTGCGCTGGGAGGTGTGGGAGCGGAGACCTGCTCCCTGCGGCTGCAACTCCTCAGAGCGGCTTCCAAGCACCTGGAAATGAGTGTCTTGAGCCCAGTTCTGCCCGCAGCTCTGATACAGGATCAGCATCCTGGGTGTCTCAGGCCTGTGTTGGGGGGAGGCCAGGGCTCCCCCCGAGGGCTGTAGGTGTGGTATCTCTCAGACACCTGGCCGGGCGCTGTCTCCACGTTCGCTGTTTGCAGCCACTCCAGTGGCAGAGCACGGATGCACGGTCAGCCTGGTGGGGCCAGCCTGGCCGGGCCAAAGGTTGGAGGGGTGGCTTCCCCTTGCTGGTTGGGACTTGCAGAGCCCTGCAGGGAGGCAGGCTGGCCTGGGCAGAGCGCCCGGGGCAGGAGCTGGAGGGGGCCAGCCGGGTGAGGCTTTCCAGCCTGGCCAGGCGAACCCAAGGGGACGTCCCTGGAACCAGGCTTGGTCCAGCTCTAGGTCCAGGTGGTGATGGCTCCTCTCAGGCAGAAAAGCAGGCAGGGTGGGAGGCCGGCAGCCCAAGAGCCTGAGGGCCCAAGACTGGGGGCCTGGCGCTGGACATAAGCCCTGCAGGGGGAGGAGGCGGCTTTCACACCTGGACCTCAGAAGGACCACGTTTGAGGCTCCCTGCTCTGCGAGGGGGACGTCCAGGTTGCTATGGAAGCACAGCCCGGAGCCCTGGCCCTCAGGGAGGCTGCTGGGAGGTGCTGGGTCACCCTGGGGCAGCCCTGGCTCTGCCTCACCTTTCTCAGCTGAGCAGCGGGAATGCCGAGTGTCCCCCCTCGTTCTGGGGGAGGCCCCGTGTCACAGAGGCATGCTGTGGCTGCTGCTACTGCGGGTGGGCAGGCGAGCACCAGGCGCAGGACAGCAGGAGGAGCGGGCCCAGGAGGGGCGAGTCCCGGCCCGGGTGGGCCCTGGGCCTAAGGCATGGAGTCGGTGTGACGGAGGGAGGAGCCCCATGAGGCCTCCCCGTGGTGACCAGGCCCCGCCTCCCTGCCCAGCGCTCCTGTGACATCCCTAGTTGTTGGTGACTGACTCACCCTCACCTCAGAAGCCTGGGCCAAGGGCAGCTATTTAACCCGCTGCGCCCCGCCCGCCTGCCTGCCAGTCGCGCTGTGCACTCCTTGGGGAGCTGGGGCTCCAGCTGCAGACCTGCTCCTCTCCTGCACCTGCAGACCTGCTCCTCTCCTGCACCTGCAGACCTGCTCCTCTCCTGGGCGGGTGCCTCTTTCCAGCCCATCGGCAGAGCCGGCCCGGCCATGGACGTGCAGGTGCCCCTGTGGCACCACTATCTGCAGGCCATCCGCTCGCGGGCGGCACCCCGGGCGCAGGACTTCCAGCGTGCAGAGAACGTGCTGCTCACGGTGCTGGAGCAGGTGCGCAGCCTGGACCCCCGCTTCCTCGTGGACTACTCCCAGGACCTGGAGGCCTTCCAGTTTGCCCTGCGCTCCTCAGAGGACCCGCTGGACGTGGAGGTGCCCCTGCAGGTGGACGCCGAGGCCCTCCTGGTCGAGGAGGTGGGGGCCGCTGCGGCAGGGGATGGTCCGGCATGCTACCGTCTGGGCGTCCCTGGGGAAGGGGCCGGCCTGGAGCGGTGGATGACGGACGACGTCTTCAGCGCCTCCTCGGAGGGCAGGGCCAAGTGCTGTGGCCACATTGTGCCCAGCAAGGTCCTGCATGTCCTCAGGGACCTTCTGGTGGCAGCCATCGTGCACTGCAAGCACCACAGCCTCATCACACCAGGTAGTGGACCGGGTCACTCTGTGCGCGCGTCTGTGTGCACATGTGTGATGGCAGTGTGTGTGTACAGACGTGTGGTGGCTTGCTGTGCACGTGTGCACATGTGTGCCAGTGCAGGGTCGTGAATGCAGGTATACGTACACGTGTGCTTGCGTGTGAACATGTGTGTGGGGGGTGTGCATGTATGCACAGATCTGTTTCAGTTCATGGCTTGGGTGCTAATTGGTGTCTTGGGCCCTGGGCAGGCTCTGTGCTCAGGTGCTTTCAAGTGAGCCAGGGGTCTGGCCTCCGTCTCTCCTCTGGGTGCCTTGCCGATGTGCTCTGCTGTCTGGTGAGCCCTGGGGTGGGCAGAGCTCCTGGCAGACCCAGAAGTTGTGGGTTTCTTTCCAGCAGGGGCTGCCTGGACCATGAAGGTGCTGGAAGGACTGGCCAACCAGTGCAGGGCCCGGGACAGTGGGGACCCTGGGCAATGAAGCCCGTCCTCCTGAGGGTCAGGGCAAAGATGTGGGTGGTCCTGGCCGAGGATGGGCCCTGCTTCCCTTGGGAGGGGACGGGCGTGTGGCAGTGGTGGCTGCCACCTGGTATTCGTCTGGCCCTCACGTCTGCTGTGAGGTCAGCAAGTGGAGGTGGTCAGCCCACCTGAGGGACAGTGACCTGCCCTGGGCTGCCCAGCGTGTGAAACTCAGGTCTGGTCGCACATCTGGGCTTGGGCCCGCCTGGTGGCTTGGGGACCTCAGCTACCTGGGCCCACAGGACCAAGCTCTCCACCTGGGTGCTTCCTGTGGGTTCTGGGGAGGCCGGGCTTCTGTCCGCAGGCTGATGTGAGGGATTCAGAAGGGGCTTTATCTCCCGGGCAGAAGTCTTCTCTCACCCTAGAAAGGTGGCTGCCAACGCCGGTCCCTCTCCAGACCTGGCTGGTGACCTGGGGCAGGTGGCCACCCTCTCAAGGTAAAAGCACCCTTACAGGTCGGCTGGACCCTGTCATTGAGCGCTCCTAGAGCCCAGCCCCGCGACACCGTGTCCGGTCATTTTCTGAACCTTTTAATTACGGCAGGCGGCTTGGTGGGGCTGTTCTGTCTCCTTCCGTCCCACCTGGCCCTGCCCTCTGCGGGCCCTGTGCCCCCCCTGGAGACAGACCCGCCAGTTGGGGTGAGCTTGAGGCTCTGCCCAGCCCTGGTCTGAGCTGCCAGGCCCCTATTTCCCCAGCCACTTGGGTCCCCCAGGGCCCCAGGGGCTGAGGAGGCTGGGAGCCACACCCAGGGCCAACCTCTGCAGGCAGGGAAATTCCAGGCATTGTTTCCTGACACATTCCTTAAAAGGGATGCCGCAGCCCCAGGTGACAGGCTCAGGCTGCCCCCACCCTGGGAACCGGTGAGACCGGGTGGGGGCTGAGGTGGGGAGCGGCTGGGAGGGTGACAGGTGTGGCTGGCTGCCTTCCGAGCCACCTTTTGGTGAACGAAACGTGTGACCAACAGTAGATAAGGACACGAAAACACCCATGGCGGCTTTACCTGACAGGTGCCTCAGACGCTGAATGGGGGGGCGGGGATCACTGAGCCCCCTTCTCCCTTTAATCGATGGGGGGACTGAAGCCCAAGTGGCAGGGCTGGGGCCTGCCCTGGGCTGGTTCCCAGGAGGTGCAGGAGACTGCTGGGGAGGGGTCTGTGTCCCAGGTGCCGTCTCCTTCCCACAGGACTCCCAGGGTGGTGGGCGGCCCGGGGGGGCTGTGCAGGCTTTCGGAAGGTAGGGACCTGGCTCTCACGCTCACCAGCTGCAGGAACCTTTCTCCACGGCACATGCTGGGGACTCGCTTTGCGACATGAGGACACGAGGACAAGCTGTTGAGCCCCCGCTGGTTGGCCTCCCGACCTCTGACCCAGGCACCCTCTCTGGGAGTGCTGGGGAGGGCAGGGGAGGCTGTACCACGCCTGGGCTGGTGTTAGTCCGTAGGGCGTCCCTCCTGCTCCCCTGGGAGATGCCCGCTCAGCTCCCCTCCTCTTTACGTGCTGTTCATTTGTTTTGGAGGAAAGGACTGGGCCCTTTGGGGTCTGGGTTAGGGCAGGGCAGGGGGCCGGAGGCATTTCAGCTGGAACGTGCAGTCCGTGGTGTGCAGGAGGAGACAGGGTCTCGTGCAAGGACTGGGGTGGCCTTTGGGATCCAGGGCCTCCTCCTGGACGCACCTCCCGACTGTGGCCTTTGGGGCCTCTGTGTGTTCAACCCTGGAGCCCAGCCCTGCCCTTCCCCTCAGCAGCCCTTCCTATGAGGTGAGCCACAGGCAAAGTCTGAGATGGGGGCTCCTGTGCACAGGCCTCACTGGGGGGTTCTCAGGGAGGCCTCCAGGGAGAAGGAGGGGCCTGGGAGGAGCAACGGGCCTGATCAGGGGAAGCCTGGCCCCGCCCCTGAGTGCTGGGGTGCAGGAGCCCACAGAGGCCGGCCCCCGGCCCCCAGGGGCCCCTCACTGGCTACTGGCTGCTGGGAGGCGGGTCCCCTTGGTAAGGTGGCCCAGCAGCAAAGCTCGTCCTCTGCAGACCCGCCAGCATGGGAGGCGGGGGGTAGGCAGGAAAGGGGTGCTGGGCAGTAAGAGCGCCCACCCTGAGGCGTTTCCCAAGGACTGACGGGGGCGCCGGGCACAGCCTCAAAATCGAGCCACTTAGAGATGTGTTCGAGGCCTGTTGGAGGCCTTCCTCCAGGCGACAGCTTCTGGATCTTAGAGCCGCCCAGGGCCTCAGGGCACTGGAGGAAGGGCCTGTGGGAAAGACCAGCCCCTCCCATGTGGGACCCCCCCATCCCTGGGTCAGGCAGGCGGGGGCCCTCAGATGCAGCCGTGGGGTGGCCCCTGCCCTGGGCGGAGCTGGTCCTCTGAGCCATGCGCTCCTGGCCCAGCCCGGGGTGCCGGCCCAATCCTGCCAGAGGCAGCCGTGGGGAGGGGGAGCCTGGGCTGGGGGGGACCACGGGCACCGGGATGGAGCCGTGGGCAGGCTCAGGAAGGCCTGGGGCGGCTCCGCCAGCAGGCTCAGGCCTCCAGGGTGTGGGGGCGAGGGAGACAGACCATGAGGCTGCTTCTAACCTGGGCACTGGTAGGAAGACCTCAGTGCAGATGCTGCGAAGTCACTAAGCTGAGCAGCACTCTCACTGCGTCAGTCAGTCAGCGTGCGTGGCCTCGTAACAAGTACTACAGACAGCGGGGCTTAAACCATAGAACCTACTTCCCCAAAGTTCTGGAGGCCGGAAACCTGAGGTCAAGGGGTCTGAGGATTGGTTAGCCCTGAGGACTCCGGGCTTACAGCAGCTGCCCTCTCACCGTGCCCGCGTGGCCTCTCCTCTGTGTGCAGAGCCCTTCTGTCTCTCCTGCCGGGACAATCTCACTGGAGTAGGCCCACCCTAATGGTCTCATTGTACCGAATCACCTCTTAAAAGGCCTCATCTCCAGACACAATCACAGCCTGAGGTGCTGGGGGTTAGGGCTTCCACACGTGAATTCTGGGGAACACAGTTCGGCTCGTAACAGCCATGCAGGTGTGTGCGGGTTCCGCTGGGCCCGGGCCTGGGCTGGGGCTGGGGCAGAGAGGGTTGCAGGGGGAGGGAGGCCGAGGGGGCAGCAGGGCGGCGGAGCGCTCTGGCGGAGGCTGGCATGACTGGCGGGTTGTTGCAGGTTCTCTGAATGCGGACAGTCTGAGGGAAGAGCAGCTTCACCTGTCCCTGCTGGTGTCCAGCGGCTGGAGAACGATCCGCTTCAATGTCATGCCTGTGGTGCGGACGAGGCACAGGGTGCCAGCCCTGGAGGGGGCCCAGCTGATGCCTGGGTTCCCCGAGGGCAGCCTGAAAAGGATCACTGGCCAGGAGGTGGCCCTGGTGCCGGCCAGTGCCGAGCACTGGAGGTAGGATGCACCTGCTGGGTCTGTGGGGTCTTGGGAACCTGGCGGGAAGGGACCGCCACACCCTGATCCCCTCGCTCCAGGCAGGAAGCCCTGCGGGGTCCCCCAGCCTCTGCCTGGGGCATCTGTACAACACTGGTATCACTGGGGTCTCAGGAAATTTGGGATCTGACTGGAGTGCCTGCTACCCCGCTGCCAGCTTTGTCCCTCTTGGAGCTTCGGGGAGGGTGGAGCTGTGCTCTCAGGACCCAGGGGGCTGAGCTGTCAGGCTGTGAGGAGGGACGCAGAAGTGCAGACCAGACCCTTTGTCCCTCGGCCCAGCGCCTTCATTTTAGGAGAGAAGGCAACAAAGAGGTCACGTGACTCACCCAGGGTCACGAGGGTTCCTGGGGCAGCTGGGAGGGGTCCCCAGGGAGGACGGTCAGAATCTAAGGAAGGGAGTCATCAGGGTCTTTGCTGGCATCTTCCATCTGGACTGCCCTTCCCAGGTGCCTGTCCCCCTCCCGTGAGACCCCACAGGTGGTGTTTAGCCCCCACCCCTGCCCTGCTCGCCCCGGGTCCCTGGTTTCTGCCCCAGTAGCCTGCGCTTGGTAAGGACGGTCTGTCCCTGCAGGGAAGGAGGGCCCCCGAGTCAGCGTCTGTGAGCGGGTGGGGGGCACAGAGCAGAGGCTGTGCCCCACTGGAGTCCTCAAACTCGGGGCTGGGGACTGAGGTCCATGCAGATCTGACGCTGCTTAGCCAGCACCTGACGTGCAAGGTCGCTGCGATGGGACACTTCGGGGGATGTAGCACCGCTGAAGTAGCAGGGGTTGCTCTTACAGTTGAGTTAATTCTTGGAAGTGGAAGACATTCGTCCTGCCCTTCAGTGGCCTCCTGCCCCCCGGGAGCCCCCCGGGAGTCCCAGCAGGGAGCTGTGAGCCCGCTGGCCCCCAGGGTCCCCATTTGAGCCACCTCTGCATAAAACAGGGGCTGCGTCCAGGCTGACAAAGGGCCGCTGCCCACAAAGGAGGGAAGGGCTGAGCGGAGCAGAGTCGTCTTTTCAGAAGTAAATGGGAAAATGGCCTTTCCAGCACCCCGTCCACCACAGACTCCTGAGGACTGTCCAATACGGAGGCTCCACGGAGAGTGGGGCCCACAGGGCACTGTCCTCAGTGTCCACCCTGCAGGCCACTCAACAAGCCCCCCTGCTGGGTGGCGCCCCGTGCTGTGGGCGCCGCCGGAGGGGCAGATTCCGCGTGTGCGGCTGCCTGGTGGAGGCTGGGCTTCCCAAAGGGGTGTGGAGTGAAGGGTCAGCCCAGCCAGGCTGGGTGGCTCCACCCATGTCCCTGCCCAGGGACCAGGAGCCACTGCTTCACCCCAGGCGGGTCAGAGTGGGGTCTTCCTGTCCACACAAAGAGGACCCGGGGCACCCTGCGTCCCTCCGTGGTCTGGGGCCTGGGCATCTGCGTGGAAAGCGGACATTCCACACTTGACAGCCCACAAGGGCAGTTCCTGAGAAGCACATGGGGAGAGCTGAGTGCAAGGGGCGAGCACCCGTGGTGGCCGGGGCTGTCCGGGGGGCTCAGAAGCTCCTGATCCTACAGAGGCCACAGAGGCTGGGGTGGGGGGATGTCCTTTTGGGCGTCCGCGGCCGCCTGGCTCGATGTGGTGTGTCTGTCTGGGCTCCCAGGGTCTCCACTGACCATCTGCTCACCAGGCTGCTTGGCGCGCTGGGCTCCCTCCGGGGCCACCGCCTGGATAGCCTCTCCATCCTGGACCGAGTCAACCACGAGAGCTGGCGGGACAGCGGCCAGGGCCCAGGCCTGACCTTCGGCCACCTGAAGGTACGCCCTGTGGCTCGAGGGCGCCAGGGGCTTGACCCGCCCCACCCCGCGTGGCGGTGAAGGGGAGGCAGCTGGGGCTGCGGGGTCTGGGGCCTCCGCCTGGAATGAGCCGTGGGTGAGGAACGGCGGTGGGGGTTAGGGAGGTGGCCGACCTGGGGCCAAGATGGCTCTGCAGTGAGTCCCATGGCCCACTCACTGTCCCTCTCAGCCTCTAGACTCACCCTTGAGGGGCACTAGCTTCTGAGAGGGTCCCTTAGGGTCTCATGCACTGTGGCCCCCGAGCCCACAGTGAATGAGGAGGCTGGTGGAAAGACAGGATGCATCAAGGCAACTGTGTGACAGGAGAGGGGCCCTAGTATGGGATCAGGGGGAGGAGAAGGTGCCTGGGGGCCAGGTAAGTCCATTCTTGTGGCTTTGGATGTATTATGTGCCCAGGCATCCTGGGCACACAGACTAGGGCTAGGATGATGCCTCAGGGTAGGGCTCTTTGTGTAGGGCTGCAGGGTATGTGTAGGAGTTCAGTGGAGGGTGGGTCACGTGGGAAAAGCCCAGCGGATGAGTGCGAGCCTCAGAGTACCCTGAGAGGAGGCTGGGGTGGGGCACTGGGAGAAGAGAGGCTCCAGGATGATGGCGGCAGGCAGGGCAGGGCTGGGACTCAGGCCAGGCCTGAAGGATGGGGAGAGGTGCCGGTGGGGCAGGGGCTCTGAGGGTGGGGGTACAGGGCGGGGCTGGGACCCAGGGCAGGCCTGAAGGATGGGGAGAGGTGCCGGTGAGTCGGGGTACAGGGCAGAGTAGGGAAGGCTTTGATGAGGGTGGTGGGCTGCAGACGGCCAGGTGTGAGGGGGGTGCCAGGCCACACCCCACACTCCGGGGGGCCTGACCCCGTGGTCCGGCCTGCAGACAGTGCTGCTGTGGGCCTCGGTGCTCTTCCCGGCGCCCGAGGACTGGGCAGAGCTGCAGGGCGCTGTGTACCGGCTGCTGGTGGTGTTGCTCTGCAGCCTGGCCACCAGGACGCTGCCCCACTTCCTCCACCCCGAGCGAAACCTACTGCAGGACGCTGGCTTGGACCTCAGCACCCTCTACCAGCGCGTGGAGCTCTTCGCCAGCCAGCCCGAGGCCTCCCTGCGCATCCACGTCACCCACCTGGGCCGCAGCACCCCGCCGCGCATCGGCAGCGGGGTCAGGGCACTCCTGCAGCTACCTGCCAGCGACCCCACCTACTGGGCCACCGCCTACTTTGACGTCCTGCTGGACAAGGTGGGCGCAGCAGCAGAGGGTGGCTGGGGAGGGAGCCCTGGTCCACTCTTCCCAGTCAGGACCTGAGGAAGGGGGGTCGGGTCAGTCCTCTGGACAGCGAGAGTGTCTGTCAGAGAAGACGTGATGCCTGGGGGTCAGATGAGCCGGGAGGAGAGGAGCCAAGGGCCAGTCTCTGGGAACCAGGGCAGCATGTCTTAGCCTGCCCCCATAACCCACCAGAACCACCCCCAAACCCCCTCTCGAAGAATGCCCAGAGCCCCACCGGCCCACCCTGGGGCTCCGCTCCTTGTGAAGGTGGGTGGCTGTCCTGGGCCTCGTGCAGCTTCCTGCTGCAGCCCTGGATGCGGGAGTCCCACGGCCGTGCCCACTGGGCCTTTGACCGCTGTCCGCCGGCTGCCCCTCCGTGTACCCTGCCAGGCCCCCCCTCCTCCACCCCACAGAGCCCCTCCAGCTCCTGTCCCCGAGGGCCAGCTCCCACCCTCACCCCAAGAGCCAGCACAGGCTCCTTCCAGGACACAAGGGCCAGGGGTGGTGGTGGCAGGAGAGGTGATGCATACTTGGTCCCAACAAGCTCCCGGCGGGGCTTCCTCTGCGTCGGGGCCATCCAGGCAAGGCCCCTAGCGGAGAGGGCCCTGGCAGGTCCACCTGCAGGCGAAGACCCCGAGGTGGGAGGCCCAGTGGTCAGGGTCTGTGTGATGTCCCACACTGTGCTGGGGCCCTGTGATGGCCCCTGGGTGTCCCTGTGACCCCTCTGCCCCTGCCCTGCCCCCAGTTCCAGGTTTTCAACATCCAGGATAGGGACCGGATCTCGGCCATGCAGAGCGTCTTCCGCCAGACCAAGACTCTGGGCGCTGGGGAGTGCTGAGCTGCGCGCCTGTCCCACTGCCTGCCCCCACCTGGCTGCACTGCCCCAAGGGGCCCCTGAACACCTGGGGGAGGCACTGGGCTTCACCTGCGTGGGTAGGGGGTGGTGGAGGGACCACCCGCGCCTGGCCAGGGTCAGCCCCTGGGGGTCTGAGAAAGCAGGGCAGTGGGGCTCCAGAGGCCCTGGGATGAAGGTGCCACGCCCTTCGTGTGACCCCTTGTGTGCCTCGGGCTGATCCATCCCTTGTGGTGTCGTCAAGACTGAGAACCGCGTGTGCAGTGAGACTCGAGCTTGTCCCCACCTGCATCGTGTGCTGCCCCGCGCGGTGAAGTCCCTGTATCTGATCTTGAATAAATCAGTGTTCTGCACCTACACAGTGGAGATGACACTTACTGCCTTTATTTTTAGCAAGTTTTTATTTTTATTTATTTTAATTTTTATCTTATTTTTTAACACTTTTATTGTGGTATGACTCCTACTGCCTTAAAAAAATTTTTTAATAGAGGGACTGGGACTTGACCCCAGGACCTCCTGAATATTAAGCAGTGCCCTCCCACTGGGTTCACCCTCGCCGGCACAGACCACTTTTTGTATGTCGACGTGGACAGTGTCTCCTCTGGAAACAAGAGAGTGGAAGCAGCTTGTGTGCCATTTCAACCCTCCTCCGTTCTCCACGAGTGACTCCCCGCTCCCCGCATCCTCGCCTTCTGGTTCATGGGGGAAAGTGAGACGGCAGAGGGGACTCCCACAGCCCCACTGCCAGCGGCACTGGTGCTGCCGTGGTCCAAGCACCCTCCTGTGCATGGGGGCGCTTCTCCTGGTGCCCGGTGCCCCCCACTGCCCCTTCTCCCTGCCCTGTTTCCGCACCTCCACTCTCATCAGCTCGCCCTGCGGGGCTGGTCACACTCAGTGTTTCCCAGCAGCAGGCTGCTTCTGCTCTTCACTCTCTCTGCCTCTTAGTGATATCGCTCTGCAGCTCTGAGCCCAGGGCCACAGCCTGCGGTCCTGAGAAGGGGGCAGATAAATTCAGCAACGGAACGAACGGACCGCAGAGGTAGACCTGCACTGGTCAACTGACAAAGGAGCCAAGTCAGTCAGAAGGGGAGGAAGTTCTCTGAACAAACACTGGAGCCGGGCAGGTGTACACAGAGACGAACTGTGACCCCTATCCACTCCACGCACAAAATCAACATGAGGTGGGCGGTAAGCCTCACTATAAAAGCTGACATGACGTAGTTTCTAGAAGAAAACATGGGAAGGTATCTTCAGGACCTCAGAGTCGGCAAGGGCTTCCCAGGGAAGGTAAAACAGCACAGACTAGGCCAGAAACTCAGGAGCAACTAGGAACTCAGAAGCACTATTTCAGGTCGTCTGGCCCTCTGGGCTGCCACGCGGACCGCAGCTGCCATGCGACCGTGTCTGGGCCATCCCATTAGTGCACCTCTGCTGGTGGCCGCGCACACGTAACTGAAGAAAAGACATCTTTGAAAAGCTGTGCGAGCACTTTGGTGGGGTCAGCTCCTAGGTCCAGCGCTGCTGGGGAAGGTGCACTCGTGGCCCTTTGATGCGTCCTGCACCCTGCTCTCCCAGAGAGGAGTGTCTGTTTGCTCTTCCCCCAGGGGATCTGCTGGGGCCTCTGCCTCCTCACGTTGTCACCAGGGCTGGTTGTCACCTGACTGAAGACCCGCCGGTGTGATGGGGACCAGTGCGGCCTCCACAGTGCGTCTGCCTGCCTGTGTCCTCACCTCAGACGAGGAGCATCTCCAGCACACGCTGGCCGCCTGCACTGCCCCTCACTGGGACTGCCCGTGCGCTCTGTTTCTGCCTAGAACACCGGGGTTGGGACCACAGCGATGTGGAGCCTGTCTCCGACCTCGGGTCATGAGGGATGCTTTTCCAGGTTGTGGTTCGTCTTTCCAGCTGTTCTTCTGGGCTTTTGCTTGTTTTGTTGATTTGTTTGGTGGTTTTGCCGCAGGAGGTGCTAAGCATCTCCCTTCTGCCTTCTGGCGGTGGTGTCACTGGGGAACAGCAGTGTCTACCCCGAGATTATGCAGAGTTACTAAAAGGGCTTCATTTCGCACATAGCATCTTTAATCCACCTGGATTTCCCTTTCAAACAACAAAAATGCTGTTTCAAGTAAAAACAATATATGGGCTTACAATATATGCGCAGACATCAAGAGCCCCCTTTTGTAGGGTTTCATTGATGGGGAACATCCAGGAGAGGTGAAGACACACAGAGAGAGAGGACTCGGGGCTGTCAGGGGCTGGGGGGCTGGAGGGTGGAGGGGGTGGGGGAGAGCGCGTGCTCTGGATCCAGGGCTTTCCTCTGAATGCAACAGTCTGAAGCCAGACAGCAGTGCTGTTCGCGCGTGGGAGCCCGTGGTCGGGGTAACAAAGTGTAACAGACCCCAGCCGCTTGTCACCTTTAGGAAGAACAAACGTGCTTTGCTAGAGGCGCCGCTGCATCCGCACGCCTGTCTCCTTGCCGTAAAAAGCGGAGACAGCGCCTTGCTTGCATAGTTGAGGTTCCAGCTTAGGGCTGCTTCCAGTGGCAAAGCCGTGGTGTGTCCCTTGCTATAAACGCAGGACACGCTTGCTTTAAGCACGAGTCCATAGTTCAGGGTTTACTCGGCTCGTTGCTGAGCGACGACCCACGCCCTCAGCTGTAAACGCTGGGCGTGCTTCCTGCCTTTAGGTGGTCTAACCCCCAAGACGAGCTGGTGGTCCGTTTTGTAGTCAGCTTCTATGTCTGAAGAGTGTCCCTTGCTCCCCTCCCTCCATGACTGCCCTGAGGGTAAATTGACCCTTTGCACCCACTGTGGATTTTACAATCTCTACCTGATCCTGCGTTTCCGTAAGCTCCTGCGTTCCATGACACAACTGTGGTATTTTCTTTGTGCACAATAAACATGGGAGTGTTTGAGGGGCTCTGGGGGTTGGTCCACGACTCCCTCTCGCTCTCCTGACTTTCCAGAGTCTCGAGTAATTCATTCCGTCGCGGTGGGACTTCTGCCAAACGGAGCCCACAGTCACACAGCATTGTGAATGCATCTAACGCTCCTGAAGTGCATGATTTAAAAGGGAAAAGTATAAATTTTATTACTGCAAACTTAAAACATAAAAATAGCGGATCCTGTAAATGACATGAAAGAAAAAAGGAAATTACAGAAGAACCCAACCAAAACGACACCAGGGGAGGGGAGTAAGTTTGGGTGGCGGAGCGGATTGATGGTGGGAAATCGGAGAAGACGGTCCTGGTGAGTGCAGAGGGGGCTCAGCCTGAGGCGTGGTGATGCCTGAACTGGCTCTGCGTTGCCTAGAGGTGCAGGTGCGGGTGCGGGAGGAGCTGCAGGAGTGAGGGCAGGACGAACTGGACCCGGTCCTGGTTCTCCTGCAGGCGCAGGCACAGCTCCTCCTCGCCAGTGTGGTGTTTCCGCCTCTCTCTCTGGCTTCCTGCTGGATCGGGATCTTCCTTTTTTGGGTCTTCCCCTGCCCTGCCTCCTGTGGATGTATATCTGTTGGAAGCAGAGAGAGCTGTCAGAGAGGGGAACAGTTTACCACGTGCCTCCCTTTCCATGTGCCTTTTCAAGGACAGACATCTTCCCAGAGCCTTCCAGACAAGTCCCACCCAGAACTGCCCACAGGATGTGTTCTGTGACTGCACTCCACCGGACGGGTGGTCTCAGGCCCGTCTCTGCTCTGGTCCCCAACAGCACCTCTGGGACTCCTTCCTGTGTGGCCCAGCCCTCGCCCCTTCCTCATCTGCACACATGCACCCAGCCCTGCCCTTCTCACACTTGGGCTCTGCCACAGTGGGCCCCATGTCCTCCAGATGACTCACGGGGAGGTGGGCACGGTGCTCCAGGTCGGAGCCGGGTGTGCTGAGCTGCCCGTCAGCCCTGGGCAGGACCCCGGGGAGTGGGCTGGGTGATGTCTGGGCAGGAGGCCGGCCCCGTTCATCTCTGGGCCGTGGTCCTGGGGACCCTTCCGTGTCCACACTCACCCAGAGCCTGTGCTGGCCCTCGGCAGTGTGGCACAGCAGCCCCTCACTTGGGGAGGTGGACTGGGTGTCCCCGTTCACCAGCTCCTCTCTGATCTGTGGTGTGGGGCTTTGCAATGACAGTGACCAGCAGCCAGCCTGGCCTGGAGGTCTCAGAGCCCTGCCTGGCCAGTATCACCACTGCCCACTCGACCCTCTGCTGCCAGATCAGACTCAGATAGTCACCTGGGAGGATAGTCACCTCGGTCTGCTCAGATAGTCACCCGGGAGGGAAGGGACCCCCAGAGGGCTTGGGCTCCACCTCTGGCAGCAGGGCCTTGCCCCGGCTCTCCACATCCCAGCCAGCCAGCTTGGACCTGGGTTGTGGGCATGACCGGCCCTCCAGGCCTCTGACCCCTCCTCAGCCTGCTCTTGCTTGAGGCAGACCTCCCCACATGACCACCCCACCTCCACCACCCAGGAAGGAGACGTAGAGCTCCCTGGCTGGGAGCCGAGTGGTGGCCTGGCCTGGGCGGGCCTGCCCTGGGGCTCCCTGTGTTACCTTTGGGTCCCTCTGGGCAAACGGCCAAAGGTGTCTGGGGCAAGACCTGACCCAGTGTCTGCAGCGTCCGGCAGAGGCCCTCCCCGCAGGCTTTCCTGAGGCTGTGGCCTCGGGATATTGGGACACAACAGAACATGTTTGTTTGGGTGTCTCCACCCAAGTGAGCTGGGTAGGGGGCTTCTCTAGAGAGTGGGTGCCCGGTGGCCTAGGTTCCAGGTTCTCTCCCCAGTGCCCACACCTGGGTCTCTGCCAGCGGGGCAGCCAATTCAACGCCCCCTTCCCCGGCACACACAGTCACCAGCCTACGTGGGGTGTGGGGTCCTTCTCGGCAAGCGGGAGACCCTGCCCTGCCTTCCTCCCAGAGGTTCTTAGGATCCGTGTGGACCCGGAAATGTGGACATGGCTGTGACCGGCTGAAGGCTACTGTGTCCAGAGGAGGTCAGGGGCTGGTCTGGTGTGAACCTTTTGAGAAAGGAGAGACTGAGAAATCTGGCTCAGGCAGAAACCCCAACGAGGGGCTGGAGCTAAGGGGCAGAGCATCAGAGGGAGCCACGCTGAGGAGGGGGAGGGTGCTGGGGCTTGGGGGCCGCCCTCAGGCACACTTGAGGGCCCAGCGGCCTCGGGGCTGAGGCCCTCCCAGACGTGCACGCCTGCACTGGCCTGGGTGCCTGTGGTGTGTCTCTCCCTCCTGGGGCTCAGTCTTGGCTGTGTGCTTGTGGGCATGTTGGTACCTGGTCCGTGTGGGCCGTGGGGGTTCCACGGAGGTGGTCTGCGAGGACGTGTTTTGCATGTTCAAGGTCTGGGGCCAGAGTGTGCAGTGACAGGGCCCCCAGCCCAGCTGACATAGCCACACACCCCATACTGCATCCCTGGGGGGGCCCAGGTGAGGCTCTGCCCCCCAGGGCCCCCAGCTGCAGTGCACTTGGGAGCAGCAGTGCTCGGTGCCCCCACCACACAAGCAGCGAGGGCAGGCAAGCAGCCGGTTCTTACGGACCGTTTGCAGAAGGCCAGGGACCTGTGGGGACTGCCGCTCGCTGGGGGTGCTGAGGAGTCTGAGGGCAAATGGCCCACATCTGGGATGGTCCCCTTGGGATGAAAAGGGCCACCTGGGGCTGGGGCGGCTGCCTGGTCCTCCCCCTCCCACTGCCTTTCCTGGGTCGGGTCCGCAACTGTCCCACCCCAGGCTCACCCACCTGCACGGTCTGCGGCAGCTGGGCCCCTCCCCTCCCCCCGCTGGGTGGGCGTAGGCCCCTCCCCTCCCGCACCGGGTGGGCGCAGTGGGGTGGGCAAGTCACAGCTTGTTCCGGGGGCAGTGCTGCAGGGCCTCCTGCAGGGCCTCGGTCACTCGGTCCACGTTCTCTCGGGTGGCGTTGCAGCCCAGCAGCCCGATGCGCAGCACCTGGGGGACAGTCAGGGTGCAGACGCCGGCCTCCCTCTGGGCTCCCCCTGGCGGGGCCCGAGGTCGGACAGAGCCAGGTGGGGCCCCTTGCGGGGAGAAGGGGCAGGAGGGGACACGCCGCCTGGATCACTCCCTGTACAAGCCCTGGCGTCAGAGAAGGGTGTCCCCTCCTGGACCCCCCGGCCGTCCTGGGCTCTCGTGACCACTGATCTCAGCCTGGGCCTGGTGTGCTCACCTTCCCTGCCGAGGGCCCCAGGCCGCCGGTGATCTCGATGCTGAAATGGTCCATGATGTAGTGGACAATGTCCCTCCAGTCGTAGCCAGAGGGCACGGCCACAGCAGTGACAGTGGGCAGTCGGACGGCCTGCAGGACAGGCCGGGCTCAGCCCCTCATGATTGCTGAGAGCCAGCTCCACTGCCCTGGCCCGGGGGGCCCTGGCTTCGGGCTCAGAGGGGCAGGCGGGGGAGGGGGCAGAGCCCAGCTCGGGAGGAAGGGCCCAAGGAGAGCCAGGCCCCCGCTGTCCCAGCAGCCACGCCAGCAGCTGGTGCTCAGGGCAGGGCCTGTAGCCTCCCAGGGACCCCCTCCCGGTGTCTGCTCCCCTCGGCCAGGCCGCATCCACTGAGACTCGGGGTGCCTGGCCCATTCAGCTGACCTTCTCACCCCCCACCCACTCCAGGCCGGTGCCAGGTCGGGGGTCTGGGGGCCGATGGACATCTGTCAGCTCCCAGGTCACCCAGAGCTACTCCAGACAGGAGGCTTTGGGGAGACTGGGGGCACAGGGAAGTGTCCTCAGACCCAGAGGCCAGGAATCCACGACCCTGGCCATGGCTGCCCCCAGCCCAGGACCACAGGGCCCTCATACCCACCTAAAGAGGGCTGGGCAGGAGCCCTCCCTGCTCCCACCCCCGCCCCGCCCCCTGCCCCCCAGGCCCTCTGCCCTCCTCACTGGATCCTTCACAAAGAGCTGCAGGCCCAGCGCCCGCAGGCGCCTGTGCAGGTGCTCGGTGGCCTCCTGGTGCTGCCGCCAGCTGTTCTCCAGGCCCTGTGGGGGGAGAGGGCACCAGGGTGGGTGGGGTCCTCCTCAGGGGAGAGACCCATCCATGGTGGGGGCAGCACTGAACTGGGGAGGGGCTCCTCTCCTGGCCTGGACTCTGAGCCCCATGGGAGCCCCCTTGGGCCCCCAGGTCCAGGCCCTGCCTCTGCCCTGGGGCGGGGCCTGAGCTATCTCAGGGTGGTGAAAATAGTCTGGGAGGGGGGACACGGTGGGCCCAGCCAGTGCTTGGCTCCTCGTGGCCCCTGGAGCGGTGAGGGGAGGGCACCTAGCCAGATGTGAGAGCTGGCCAGGGGAGCAGGAGGGGCTTCTGGGCCACACACTGCCTCCTGTCTTCCCAGCCCTCTGACCCCCATGGCCTGTGTCCCTCTCTCCCCACACAGCTCGCACCCACGGCCCCTCCTCGTAGAGACCCCCGGGAGGCTGCAGCTCCTAGTCTTCTCTCCCAGCCTCGCACGCAGCCTGATACTGTGCCTGCTCAGCCCAGGGGCCCCTCGAGTCCAGGGCGGGGGCTGCATGAGCGCCCACTGAGGGCAGACGTGGCCGGAGCAGTGCCACACCACACAGGAAGGCCAGCCACGGCCCAGGGTCTCTTCTGGCCTCTGGGCTGCTGTCTGGCACCCCCCCCCAGGGGCCGCCCTGGGGCTGTTTCCTGGCCTGGACCACTCTTGGTCCCTTGTGTCCCATGGTTGTGAACGTTGCTCTGAGCAAGGGCCCCACCTTGGTTGCAGTCGCACCAGCTGTCCCCACTTGGCTCCTGCCCCAACCCTGGCAGCTGGTGGCGACTGCAGGGAGAGCCTGGCCAGCTGGAGGTGTTCTCGCTCCGCACCCCAGCCTCTGGCCCCGCTTCCTGGCCCTCTCTTCTTGGCCTCTCTCCTCAAGCCCCCTCTGCTCAGCTGGGCCCTCACTGAGGTCTTCGTGAAGAACCAAGGGGTCAGAAGACGGTCCACACCTGCCCCATCACTCCATCTGCCCCATCTGTCCTCCTGGGCCCCACCCTCGGCCCACAGACAGTGCCCCTGCCATCCCCCGACCTGCTGCCTGGAGCCCATCCCCTTCCCGGCCCAGAGCTCTTCTCCAGCAGCGCCCCCATCACCCCTTCCTTGTCTGCAGACCCCTCGGCCAACCAACCAGCAGTTATCCGTGTCTCAGAATCCCGCTCACCCCACCCCCAGAACTGCCTGAGGGAGTCGCGGGAAGGGGCCTCACAGCACCTGGCCCCAGCTCCACGCTGCTCTCGGCTGCTCCCCGCCTCACCTGCTCCGCGAGGAGGGCCAGGCTCTCTCTCAGGCTGTACAAGCTGATGATGGGGGTGGTGTGATGGTATCTGGAAGGCATGAGGGGCTTGGTCCAGCGTCACTGGGTGGGGGCCAGGGCAGTGGCTCGCTCCATCCCAGCCCCAGTGGGTCAGGCTCTCTGACAAGGGGCCAGCCCTGGTCCCAGGGGAGCGCTGTCCAGTTTGGGAGGTGCTGACTCAGAGTTGGAAGGGCTCCCACAAGGGACACTGGCCTGGCCGCAGAGGGAAGCTGGCAGGACTGGAGACCAGGAGCTGGTCCAGACCCTCAGCCCCAGCACCCCTGATGTGTCCCCTGGGTAGGGCACAATTCCTGGTGTCCCTGTCCTCATGTGTGGCATAAGGGACGTGGGTTATGGCCAGAGCCACCTCACAGAGTCTTCAGTTCACCCTCTCCTTTTGAGAGATGGGTAAACCGAGGCCCAGGAGTGGGAAGATGTGTCAGGCCAGGTCCAAAGTGCCTGAAGGTGGCTGGGACTTCTGGAAGGAGAGGGCCCATGGAAAGGGGGTTGTGGACCATGCCTGGGGGCCCTGGGAGGAATGAGGGGACCCAGGGGCATTGATGGCCTGGACTGGGGAATCTTGGGGCTCCAGTTGGGGTGGGGGTCATGAAGGTGGGGCTCAGAACCCAGTGTGCAAATCTGATTAGAGGCTGGAGGCAGGGAGAGGACACCACTCCATGCCCCTCAGCCGCCCTCGGCCTGGTCCCCATCCCTGCCCAGCCCCCTCATGCCTTAGTGTCCCCTTCTCACCCTTCCGCCTTCATCCCTAGCCCTGCCCACCCCCAATCCACATCCCGTCCGTGCCCCGCCCCTCCCCCTCCCAGTCCCTCCCCTCCCCTCCCCCTCTCAGTCCCTCCCCTCCCCCTCCCTCACCTCCTGGGCTTGTCGTCACACCCCCAGATGTTGGCCAGATACTTGATGTCCAGGTAGAAGGAGAAAGGCTTTGTCTTCCGGGTGTAGATCTTGTTCCTGGGGAGGAAAAAGGAGACTGACTGTCCCCCCGAGCCCAGGGTAGAGGCAGCAGGGGACTGGCACTGCCCCCAGTCCTTGGCTTGAAGCCTGGGAGCTGCGACAATGCCAGGCCCTGCAGCCTGCACATGAGCCCCCGCTGCACGAGGAGCGCCTTCCGGAGGCCAGCCTGCTCCAGTCACTGGTTCACGCCCATGGCCCTCAGCCTGCCCCACCACCCTTCTCCCTGGGGTCCCGAGCTTCTGTGCACCTGTCCAGAGTGGGCACCTGTCTAGGGTGGACACCTGTCCAGCGTGGGCGCCGTCCGAGGTGGGTGGGAACGTTCCAGTGGCTCTCCGAGCCGGCCCCAGGAGCCCTTCCCTCTCTTGCTCTGTCCCTCCCTCCTCCGGGCCATCCAGCCTCGCTGCCCCTGCAGCCCTGGGTTGGGGGCCCGGGCTCACTCACTTGGCCTTGTCACTGAAGGAGATGAGCGAGGTGCCTGGAGGGGCATTCAGGACCTTCTGGGAGCCAGAGTACAAGACATCGATACCTGTAGAGGGAGGGGTGTGAGCTTAGGCGGCCCACCCCATGAGGGGAGGGGTCGTCCGGGGGTCCTACCCAGCCCAGGCCCTGGGAGTCCAGCAGAAGCTTGGGGTAAGCCGGGGCCAGCATTCGAGTAGTGTCTGGAGTGAGGAGATGCCCCTGAGGGACTAAACCCTTAGCCGGTGGGGCCTGGCGCTCCTGCAGGTGGACTGTGTTCACTGGAGGGCACCGGTTAGTGTCTGCTTGATGCGGAAGCCCACCCATCGGGCGTGAGGGGTGTGGTGAGTGAGTGCAGTGGCGGGGGAGGTAGAGAAGGACACTGTTTGTTCTTCTCACATCTTGAAGTGCTGTCCACTGACCTCCCCAGAAAATTTGAGGGGAGTTTAAATTGCGGGCAGCAGCGGAGGGCGGGGTCAAGACAAAGGCAGGAAGGACCAGGGACCAGGGTTCAAATCTGAGTCCTGCATCGACTCCCTGATGATGGGGCCCCGAGGGAGCTGTGTGTCCCCAACACCGCCAGGCGGGCCGAGGACGCTCTTCCCGGCTCATCCCTAAAGCCTAAACTGGGATGCCCGGAGGTCTGCATGGAGGAAGAGGGGTGGACGCTCGGAGGTCTGCACGGAGGAAGAGGGGTGGACGTCCAGAGGTCTGCACAGAGGAAGGGGGTGGCTGGGAGGATTTAGCCAGTGATGGAAATGGAAGAGGAACACCGGGAGTGACCTGTGGGCAGTGAGCTGGCGTCTGCAGACCCAGCAGGACAAGTGGGGCCGGGGTGGGCAGTGAGGAGGCGAGGTGTCCTGAGCCCCCCGGGGCCTCAGGCTGGATCCTCCTAAGGCAGCGTCTCCCCCTACTGGGGGTCCAGCCCTACCACCCTGCTCCGTGTCCCAGGGCCCTCTCGGCATCTGACCTTTCAGAACAGGGATTAGAGGGTCAGCCAGAAATCGCCCCTCACGCCAGACCCCCTGCGCAGAGGGCTCTGCAGGGGAGGAAGTGGGCAGTCCAAGTGGGGGGGTCAGTGGACCCAGCACCACCCATGGTGGTTTGGGTTTACTCCAGGAGGAAATGCTGGGCACAGAAGGCATTCCCACGCTGGCCCGCAGGCCACCCGACAGCAGAGCTCTCTGCCTGTGACAGGCTGGGGGTGCAGGCAGCCGGGGAACCGGGGCCCAGCTGGGACCAGAGGCATCCCTGTCCCCACACCTGATGGGCAGGGGCCCAGGCGCTGCTCCCACCCGCTCCTGTCTGGGCTCTGAGCACCTCTCCAAAGGCTTGCCCTGGAGAAGATGCCCCCTGAGGCCTGTCCCTCAGGTCCCGGCCTGAAGGCCCTGCAGAAACCCCATGTATCCATTAGTTCATGGAGCCTGTCTCGTCCCCTGTGAGGAGCTGCTGCCTCCCCCAGGTCTTGTGCAAATGAAGCCTCATCCGACACGTGGCTCAGGGTGGACCTGCAGACGTGGGCACTCGAGACCTCCCATTGAGGCCTTCTGACCCTCAGAGCCCACTGTTTGGCTGTGCGGTGGGGGGGCACACCCTTACCTTGCAGGTCCATGTAGATAGGGACCGCGCCCAGGGATGCCACAGCGTCCACCAAGAGCAGGCACCTGTGCCTGGGGGAGGGGCGGCAGGAGTGGGGTTCAGACCTCCCCACAAGGTGGGGCTTCTGGAGGGGCAGTAGGACACTCTCAGACCCCCAGGGCCAGCTCTGTGTCAGAACCAGGATGAGGCACCGGGCAGGGCCGGGGTCACCACGGGGGCCTTGGGAAGTCAGGGCCCCAGCCTCCCTGGCCCAGGACGCCCACACACAGGTGAGCACAAGGGCCAGCCAGGCCGTCTGGGGTCCTGGGGGGTGGCCTGGGGCTCTGAGAACGCAGGTCCAGGGGCCAGGGCGGCACAAGGCTGGGCCTCCCTTTGCCGAAAGCCCGCTGGCCAGGCGTCCGGAGCGTGGGGAGGACAGAGTCCAGAACCAGCCTGAGTTGAGAGCTCTGACCCCCCAGCATGTCCACATTCTCTTAGAAAAGGTACAGAGAGTATCCCATGCGGACCCCTGAGAGCCGCAGTCCAGACTACACATGAGAGCTTGACTCACTGCACAGACCCCAGGGGCAGGGCGTCCTGGCTGGGGCTGTGCTGAGCGGCCCCCAAGTGGACAGCAGCCCTGCCAGGCTAAGCCTGCCTGGCTGTGGAGTTCCTCTCCTTCCATCCTGAGGCCAGCTCTCCAGAGTGGGCCTGCTGGTCACAGGAGGGGATCTCAGCCAAGTCCACCCCAGGCCCCAGGCACCTGGTGCAGGGGATGGGGAGGCTGGGGGAGGGCAGTGGAGGGCAGGAGGCCGCTCTGGGGCTCCGGGATCTCGAGGGGAGGTGGGGCAGGCCCGAGCAGACCCTGGTTCCAAAGCTGCAGGGTCAGCACCAAGTCCTTCCCAGCCACGCAGCCTGGAGGGCAATGGCCCTGTGGGGGCATCTAGGCCCACTGTCAGATGGGAGGGGTCGACCTAGCTTCAGCCCAGTGCAAGGAGGATGCAAGAGGGCCTGCACCCCGACCTCATGATCCAGAGGCTAGGCTGGGGATGGCAGGGTGGGAGGTGAGCTTCACCTGCTACCTCCTGGGCTGGAAGGGCCTGCCAGCAGCCCTACCCTACCCCTGGCCTGAATCTAAGCTGAGTTTGGCTCCGCCCCCAGCACCACCATCCTGGGACAGGCTCACCTGTGGGACAGCTCACCTGTGGGACAGGCTCACCT